ACATTTATGATATAGCCTCACGTATACACAGATATAAAAATCTTCTCATTTTATCAAGAAACTCAACAATCTGATGAAGCCACGACTTCAATTCAATTTCTGTCCTTAGAATGTATACAAAATATGCGAAATGTCAATACTTCTATACACTTCTATGTTTATTCTGTCTTTGCATACATCAATCTCTTGTAGAATTCACTGAAAGANACATTTATGATATAGCCTCACGTATACACAGATATAAAAATCTTCTCATTTTATCAAGAAACTCAACAATCTGATGAAGCCACGACTTCAATTCAATTTCTGTCCTTAGAATGTATACAAAATATGCGAAATGTCAATACTTCTATACACTTCTATGTTTATTCTGTCTTTGCATACATCAATCTCTTGTAGAATTCACTGAAAGACAAATTACGAATAATAGGTACTTTTATATATATGTTTTTTTTAACATAGTATTTCATCTCTTTTCTTTGAAATTGTTTTAAAGTCAGATTTGAGTAGAGAAACGAGGTCGTGGCAAATCTCCAAATACTGTATCACCATGAACGCTCTTAGCTAGAGCTTTAATTGAAGCTCGAATATTATGTGGATCGTGAGGATCTCTCGACAGCTGGAAACACCACATCGTTTGATTTAGTAAACGTTACTATTACATAACATGCAATACAACCTTTTTTTATCGTAGTATCTATTATCTACAATACTCTGTTATCTGTGGAGTACATATCTCATTATGATGTTTATGTACGATATATTTAGATATGTATAGTAAATAGTAAATACAACATTGTTTTATTATTATTCGTTTTCATTAGTCAGTCTGAAATATATGAAATTTTATAAGAAAGTACTTTGGTGGTTGTATTGTATGCGTATATTTAATTAAACAAAATAATAATTATAACTATACAATATAAAAAAATCATAGTTCATACCTGATCATCGTCCTCGTCCTGAACGCTTCTACGTACAAATGAAGGAAAAGATGGAACAGTAACTGGTAATGATTTAGCCAATGTTGGATGTCCTCCTCTTTGTCCTCTAGGCATGTGGATACCTTCATCTTGACCTGAATCTGAGCACATCGGTAATGCATATTATTCAAATTTGTTATGAGAATTAAGAAGATATTATATACTAACGATCATAATTAAAAAATCATTAAAGTTTACACCATAATGATGTTAAAAAGTGAAAAGAGTTCTTTAAAGTGTATAGTCAATTTTTACTGGATTTTTTATTCGCAAAAATATAATAATTTAAACATTTACAAGTTTTCATTCTTTAATGTTGATTATTGATATATAAAGTGAACATTTTAGTTACCATCTGTATCAGATCCTTCTTCTGAAGATTGGACTTGATCAGTAGTGTGAATATCTTCCATACCTTCCAGTGGAAATAAAGCCTCTGCATCAAAACTAACTGGTTCCTTAGAATATATATATAATCGATCCTTTTTATCTATATTACCATTCTATAAAATATTCATTGAATTTTTTATGAAGTGCATACGATATAATGGACTTTTTAAAATATACGGCATACTTACAACAACAGGGGTAGGAGAATATTTAGCACCTTCATGCTTAACATTAGGACCAGTAACAATTTTTGTTTCACTTGATATTACTTTTGACGATGTGTTCATCATATTATTTGTAGAGGTAGATAAACTGGTTGTAAAACTGTCCGGAGTTGTAGGTGGTGTTTCTATATTATTTGTTAATCTATTTGTTTCATCCCCTTTAGAAATTAACCTGAAGAATATAAATTGAATGTAACATAAAACTGTATAATATTAACAATAAGTAATAATGTAAATCACATGTAAGACCTTGTTAATATTCTATGCTCATTATGAGCTCGTTCACGAAACTGTTCTAATAATTGATACTGCTCTGCTGTGAAAGCACGAATTTTATCTTCTATTTCTGTAGATCTTCGTTGGACTGCTTCTTCAAGCTGCTGTTGGAGACCACCCAAAGCTACTTGTATATTATTGGGTAATTGTGATACTAGGTAGATAAAATAAAATATATAGTAATTGTTTTCATATTTAATAAAATTTAAAATACACCTCCACTTTTTGCACTTTTAAATCCTCACTTTAACCACAGAAAATTAATTAATAGATATTAGTTTATTTACCAGAAAATTTAGTAGGCTGTTGTAGGTAATCTAGCTCCTCCAAAGTATTATGAGCAATAACTATTCTAAAGACCGGACTGTAATCTGGACTTGATTTCAATTTATCTATTTCTTCGGGTAAAGTCTGGAATAAGAAAACCAATATAGAACACATAAAATATATTAGTCTTAAAAATATAAATTTATATTTAATAGTACAATTTAATTTAACATCTGATTTGCAACGATGTAATAATTATTAAATTTTACATATTATATTAAATTACTCGGATCAAGTTTTTATAATTCTTGATTGTAGTTTATATACTTACAACAATGTCTTTATTAATAAGAACTAAAGCAGCACCAAAGTCTCTGTGCACAGCATGTGTGTACATTGAACAATTGTAACATCGGTGAATAACCCATGATCCCACATTCCTTATCTCCACTAAACCTGGCTGTTCTTTAGTGATGCCTTCAAGCTCTGATATTGTTGCTAAATTCTGTCCCAAAACAAATACAATATATCTTTAATAAATAAATCGTAATCTCTGATAACATTATAATTTCATATCGTTAAATAAATATTGCTTATCTTATCTTTGTACATAGTATAATTTTATCAATTACATCCTATGTTTAAGAAACAATTAATTCAATTGTTGATATAAAAAATTTCAATGGTACGAGAAATTCTCGATTGTTATCAGAACAAAAAATCATAAATTCATGACTACTGTCAAGTATAGTAAATACAAGAGTGAGTATCGCGAAAAAAACTCACCTGACGAAAAAAACCGTCGGTTTGTTCTTGAAGTGTCAGTTCAATATCATCGATGTTGACCATTTGCAGTTCAGTGCCCCTGGATTTTATGGACACGTTCAAACATTTACATACAATATGCATCTTACACGATCAGTGCACAACGTTTTCGAAAATAAACTTCAAATATTGTAACACCGTCTTACGATGCCGGGTCTCATACACACTATCTACACACTGTTCACTTGATTTTTCCTGAGATGTATATACGATATGCGACTAGAATCTTTCAACTTGTCTCAAAGTACTTTCAATTTTTCCAGTTAAAGTCAACTTAACAATCTCCTTGGAGTAAATTCGAACGAAACAATAGAAAGTAACAACAATACTTTGTCTTAAAAGATGAAGTGTCGTAACATTATATGTTTCGCGGTATTGTTTAATTTCGAATGTGTAATATGTACTGTGTTTGTACGAATGTAGAAAACACCTTATTGAGAAGATATTTAGTATTAAGTAAAACAGGGATTTCGTAATTCGGATTTATTGATGGTTGATTCCGGTTGCTATTCGATCCGTTCTGTGAATTAATTTACTCGTTGTTGACAGACAGCACTCTCGGAGCGAAGTAAACGAATTACCGAACCTGTGTATCGCTTTGTCGATTATATTTGCGACTGAGTGTTCGTTTTCACCGTCTACGGAGGCAGTTTTGAATATCAATATTTAGAAATTCCGAATAAATCGATCAGAATGAATCTCACATCCAGAGTATACGACAAGTTTCTACATTTCTTAGCTACCATACACGTATTTACAAGTATTTTGGAAAATCTACAAAAAGCTTCTACTAAAAATAAACACTGATTTATAAGTGCGTGCAGATGCGTACGTGATCACCCCAGACAAAAACATACTTGCTAGTCAATTGACTGACTTCACCATATGACATCGGTTTCTCATCGTATTAGAATGTAATTTCTACATGTACATGCAGCACACATACTCATAAGTTTACTTGAAATTGCACATATTCAACACAATTACAGTTTCGTATATCAGATAATTCTTCTTATATTTTATAACTGCATAGTGACCGAAAGATTTGAAAATTTGTTGAACAAATAATACTGTGTAAAACATAACAATATGTCGCTTGAT